TTTTCTTCTATTATTATTCGTCACTCGTGCCATTTATTCTTCTCAATCGTTGGCAACTAAGTGATTGCGGATTTTGTCATTAGGTGTTATTGACAAAATCCGCAGTCGCTTAGTTGCCAACCCAATACAACAGACTCATCGAAGACGACGCCAAGACGAAGCGAATATTTCAAGTATTTTGCTATATTTTACCATCATTACCCGTCTCGTTTAATGCAGTCAAGTAGATGTAAAATAAATACGACTATAAAACTTTTCCTGCTCGTAAATAAATTCATCGCAGAAGAAGTTAATACGAGGTAATCATCATTCTTACCGTCACGTTCCTACCGTTATTTCGACGATTATACCTTCAACTTTAAGCTCAACGGCTGATAATAAATCTCAGCAGGGGCAAGAGGAGAAGGATGGCCATCGCTAGCGGGGCCGCGCTCGTGGCGGTCAGGTATGCGAGGCTTGCAGACGAAAAAAATAAAGCGAGATGAAATAAGAAAAGACAAAAGAAACGCATGGACGCAAGTGGTGGTGCAACGAAGAGGATCTACAGTCACCTGAGCGTGGGATAGAGAAAGTATATGGCGAAAGGGTGGGTGGGCGGAGAAGGGTGGAAAAGGAGCGTGAGTTGCATCGAATGCGAGAATGAAAGGACGAAGAGGAAGAGACAGGGACGAACGACGGAGAATCAGGATGAAGGTAGCCTAACCTGACCAAGAGCCATCGAGTCTAAACAATCGGACGATCGTCCTTCGAAATATCTCTGGCTCCTGGGAACACGTTTATGCGTGTACGTGTTCTTTCTACCTGTTTCGGACTGTTTGCCGTAGCTTGCTCGTCAGGCTTTTGTGAAATTTCTGGCCGTGACGGTAGCCAGCAACAGCCGATGTCTCGTAAATACGATTTTAAAAAGGAACAGACGTCTATCAGGATTTTTACGTACGAGACTGTATTCGTGATAGAATTTCTTCTCGTTTACAATTAAATTCTCTGTTCGCGTAGGATTTTAGAAGGAGTAGACACCTCTTAGGAACTTTATATAGGAATAATAAATCGAAGAAAAATTTATGCGTTAAGGGGTTAATGTATTTTTATTATACGATATCATCATCGTCATTATCATCAAGTTTATATCGTTCGACCCTTTCGATCGCGAGAGTTTCGTTCGTGTATCGCGCCACGCGTTCTCGAGCACTTGAAACGTCTGCGTTGTTTTTCGAAAGAGCAATCGTCAGTTTCATTAAATAGCCACAGCCAGTAGTTAGTAGCGTTTCGTTTGTATCTCTCTCTTCCATAAGATCGAGCGATTCTATCGAGAGAATTCCGAGGATGCAGCAAAGATAAGTTAAATCTCGCTTCATCGACACTTATCGATGCATAGACGTTCGGCGAAACGATCGTTTACCGAATTTTCCATGCAATTGTTTGAAGCAACGCAGATATTTTAGATGGTCCGTTGCCTATGAAAATACCAGTGATCGTGTTTTAATCAAAATCGATAGTCGATCGATCATCTGCCATAATCGATGAATGCGCGTATCCTGCTCGATGGAAAAATCCAATTGAAACTACTCCAAATTAACTCTTTATTCAACAATAGCGTTCCACTTTTCAAAATTCCCCGATACAAATCCAATCTCTGGTAACAATTTCGGAAATCCCAGCTCTCGATTCTTTCACCGCCAAACCCCGGACCTGCGTTTTCATTTATTTCATATTCCTCGTCCCTTCTCGCAACGAGGTAAAATAAAAATTAAAAACATCCACGCGCGCACACACGCGCGCCTGTACAAAAGAGAAGATAAAAACAGCGGAAAAGAGGTAGAACGAGGTACGAATCGGATTATATTGTTCGAGGTGGAGGAAATATTTCTACGGGGGTGAGTAACGAGCGGAGGAAAGTTGGCGAGCAGGTCGCACGAAGGATTTTCGAGTATCCGGTGGATCAACCTGCGGTTTTCCGGCGAGTTTGCCCGCCGCTCGACCAGCTATTCGGCTCCAAATTAAACTCCCACCCGTGGCCGTGGCGGCGCGGCGTTTACGCCGAAGCCACGTGTAAACTCGAGTGCAATTCGCCCTCGTCGAGACCGACCACGGCCGCGAAAACCGCGACGTCGTCGTTGTTTTCCAGAGTGATTACCGACCGCCAGGCCGCTTTTATTCCGCGCAAACGTACCGTGCTCCTCGTCGTCGTCGGATTTCGATCGATTTACGCTGCGCACTATAGACGGATCTTCTGCCTTTATTTTCTGCCTTCTTTTTATTTCTATCTTCTCTTCGTTTGTTCGTTTCGAACAGTGGATTATGCGTCCCGGTGATTATTCGCGAAGAGTAAATTGTAGGATTCGAGGATTAACGAAGATTGGAATTGGAAAGTTTAAGCATTAACCGAGAACAGTTTTTACAAGACTCGAGTATTTAAGGTACGTAGTCGCGGAATCTAGATATTACGGAGGAAAGATTGGAAAATTGTTATATTATTGAAGGATACGAGGATGAAGATTATATAGAAGAATGGAAAGAGAAAGGACGGGCGAAAAATCGAGAAACCGTTAATGGAAAGAGAATTTGGAAATTTTATTTTTTAGAATCTTTAAATGGTAGCCCGAAGTGGTCGAAACAGCTTGCGTTAGATTCCAGGTAAATTCGGTTGTGTTTAATTTTGGCACGTTTATATCGTAGAATGAAAGGAGATCTCGAATTTTTGAAATAAGAAATTGACGACGTTACGTAGACAGGTTTATGTGCCGCGTAATATTTTCAAAGTTGTTGATCGAAATTGTGAATACAGTGGTTCATGTCGAAACTAAGTTAAGCGCACGTAGAGACTGATGCACGAGTAGGACGCGTTCTCGAGATAGTGGAAAGGTCGGTCCGAACGAAAGGTCAGTTTAATTCCATTAGATCGTGGAAGCCTTTAATGTTCCCCTGCGTGGGCAGAAACGGTGAAATTTGCGGCCAGATCGGTCGAACAATGTCGCGTATCGTTGCATCTCCGCCCCCGAGTGTTTCACAGTTTCTTTGTTCGTGTTGCGATAATAGCGTCGGAATATACCCTCGAATATTAAACGTTTCATCGAAACATAGTTTTCCAATAATTATTTCTTCCAACTTTCGATATTATTATTTTATTCGATATCGCAAAATGTTGCCTCTATCGTACCTTTCCTTCTCGTTCTTCTCTCTTCTTTTTGTTTCTCAGACATTCCTTTAAGTCCATAATTTGCAACCGGCATGCTGCAAGAATTTTTAAAACGTATATAATAGCCGACTACTTGGTCAAGGACACTGATCTCTCTTCCTTTAGATTGTCAAATAAAAACAACAATGACCGTCGGATGTGAATGCCGTGTCCCGAAGCAAATATTACATCTCTTTCGATGTGCCGTACAATTTTAGTAATTAGTTTATGCGTGCCGTGAGATGGAAAAAGGTTGAAAATCACTGCTTTAAGATAATGTATCAAGCGCAGAAGTAGGACGCGCCCATTAACGGAGCAGGATTTAGTGGTTTTTTTTGTTCAACTTCGTGATCGTTATCGAGCTGAATCGCGATTATCCAATGTGAATCAGCCTGTAGAAACTCAGCAGCACAGAAGGTTGTCCGATGTTCGAAGATCGCCGAGCGTTTCTACTTATGGTGGACTAATGTATTTTGTAACTTGTAGATCTCGGATAAGGAGCAGTTGCGGCTTCTGGAAGTGACAGCGAAGCTTGTGGTGGTTCTCAACCATCGAACCCTCTCCCGATCCTATCCATTCGAAATTTTGAGCAACGTGTATTTTTTCATCAATACTTTTGCCCAATGGAAAAACAAGAATCTTAATTGTATCGATGGGAATCGGCGAACGATCGATTTCAATTCGTTAATAAAATATCTCTGTGAATATCGTTCTCGTTGGTTACCTTCGTATCTCGATAAATCAAGCTAAATGGGCTTTTTGTACGTGTAATTTTCCGAATGCTGCCAATTCCATCGATTAAACGATGGGAATATAATTGTTGCTAACGATTTGCTTTAATGATGCTCGTGCAAATATCGTTACGAACCGCCGATAAATCCAAGTTACTCCGCCAGACTTTGCCATAAGTTTTGTTATTTGCTGCGTTAATCGAGCAACAAGAATATTCATCCCATTCCATGGTAACTGATCGACTCGATTCTTCCCTATTAACTTACTCTATTCTCTACGTTGTTGTAGGTGTGGCTATACTACCTATTCATTAAGCTCTCATATTTTTATTCATACCGTGTGTACCACGTGTTCGTTTATCACGCTACCAAACACCTACACTTTGCCTGTACTTTCTTCGCTACTTTGTCACTCTACTTTCTACCGTACGACTAACACTATTACCTATTGCGTTACGCTATCGTTACGCTATTAATTACAATATCACGTCACTAACATCGTTACGCTACCAATTATACTACTCCTTAATCTACGATTAACCAGGCTGTTATACTTATCGCATTACTCTACCGATTACTCTATTGCGGCACTAACTATCCTGTCAACCAACCGTTATTACGCCAAAACCAGACCATTCGCTGTACCAACGCTACCGCTACTCGCTGATCGCTACTCACCTCTACATCCACTCATCCGTCATCCCACGTCATCCCACGTACATCTACTCTCTTGCACCCTCCTCCAACCTATCCACGCCATCCTGCGTCTCCCTACGCTACACCCATCGTACACGTAATCACCTCTCGAAGCTGCAACCTGTTCTCGCGTTAATAAACGCTCGCGTCGATAGTCGAACGTACCAAGAGTTCGGGACAACATTAGCCGGCGCAGACACCGGGAAATTGTTCCATCGCGGCGGTCTTTATCGTCGCGGCGCAGAGGATATCGAGAAAACGGCCGAATATAGCGAGAAAGAGACGGATTTCGGGGTGGCTGACCCCTTTCGCGAATCAGCTGTTCGCGAACCAGGGTGGGAGACGGCACTGGCGGCGGATCTCAAAGCATACCACAGGAGAAGAGGAACGAAGAGGTAGGAGGAGATAGACGAGAGCGGGACGAGGATGGAGCAACGAGACGAACGAAGTATTAGCCGCGGGGTGGAGGAGGATAGAGGATCGAGGTAAAATGGTCCAGAGAGAGCACGTTGGAGAAAAGACGAGAGAGAAAGAGAGAGAGAGAGAGATCGGTGGACGCGTGGGAGAGTTTGGCTCCAGCGGGATGGTGCTCAACCTTGCACAGGTGAGCGGAAGTCGGGACGAACATCTTTGAAAGTTCCATTAGCTCGTGGGAAATTCGATCCTTCTTCGCTATGTAGTTTTCTCCTGCGGTAAATCTGTTCCGTGATGGACCCTGCGTTTCATCATGGATTTTTGTCTCCGTTTGTTTGCCTTGTGAGGGTCTCGCGGTATGTTTAAGATTTAGGATATTTAAGGGTCACGATGGTTGGTTTTGTTGGTGATGGATGGCTGAGTTGGTTAAACTAGAGTGACGTACGAGGTGCTTTGACTTTTAGCTTTGAATTAGTTTCTTCCGAGTACGCAAGGAGTAATAATTCATTTTTATCAGCAAAGGAGAATAGAAACGAGCGACGAAATTAATTTTTGTTAGAATAACTTCGCGCGGCTGTAATAAAGAGAAGGAGTTTTGTTCATAAATGTCCCGTAACGTTTTTACTTGAAGCTAGTTTGTTACCATTTTGTTCTATTGGAACATCGTTCGATGAAATAGTATGAAAAAATGTTGTTCATCTATTATTTCCTTAAAAAGCAAAACAAACTTTTGAGCCAGTCTAATTATACTTTTGGAATACGAGTATAACTTTACATTACCACCTCGAGTTCGGTGTATGAAATTGAATAAGAGATCTGGGTTGGCAACTAAGTGATTGCGGATTTTGTCAATACCACCTAA